AGGCAGAAGGGACAGAATGCTAGTTCCAAGCCCAGGCCTCTCATGTCTGCTTGCCCTCTTGCCCTTCTGCCATCACTATGAGAACATGCCTCAGCTAGCCTGCTGGTCCAAGGAACGTGAGAGATACTCGGAGCAAAGCCTCCCCAGCTGAGCCCTGCCTAACTCAGTTTACCCTCCATCAGGCCTGCAAATGTATAAGCAGTAATAAAGGACACTGAGTTTTAAGACACCAAGTTCAGGGAGGGTGGGAGGGTTGTTACACAGCATTATTATGACAAAAATCTGACTGATATATCCCTCAAGCATACTGAATGGTTCCAACTTACTTGCTGTCTAGGGTTATTACTAACAACAATAACAACCGTGGCTAGTGTTTATTAGGAGCCTATTATATGACAGGCACTGTGCTAAGCCCTTTATACAAATTAACTAGCAAGCAACCCACTTTATTGACTAGCAAACTGAGGCTCAGAGAGATGAAGTCACTTGGCCGAGATCACACAGCTAGAAAATGGTGGGGGGAGTTCGCGGGTGGCCTAGCGGTTAGGATTCTGGGCTTTCACTGTTGTGGGCCGGGTTCAATCCCGGGTTGGGGAACTGAGATCGCGCAAGGCGCACAGTGTGGCTAAAAAAAAGAGAAAATGGTGGGGCAAAGACCCAAACTAGATCTGTCATCAGAGTCCAATCTCTTAACTGCCGTGATATTCTACTACCTTCTGTCAAACAGAAGGTAGTGTACAGTAGTATCCTGCCTGGGTTTGAATCCCAGCTCTGCCACTTATTCGTCGCATAATCTTATTTACTTTATTTTTAACACTACGATTTCTCCTCTGTTAAATGGAGATGATAATGGCATTGACCTTCTAGGGTTGTAGTAAAGAATTATTTCCTGAAGCAATAGTAGGCCCTCTAAAAGCATCAGCTCTCTTTATTAGTGTGTGATGTTGCCATAACTGTTCCTTATGTCTCCACCTTTATCTTTGGCCATTCCTGGCTACTTCTCCAATCATCATAACAATGAGGCAATTCTGCTGTCATACCTATTTGGCAGATGAAGAGACTAAGTTTTAGAGAGCTCAGACCACTGCCCAAGGTAACACTGTTGGTAATCTTGTCCCTTCTTTAAAACCCAACTCAAATGTCACCTCCTCCTGGAAGCCTCTCGAGACTCTCTAGCATGTGACTCTACCTCCCAGAAGTTCTCCCTTCTCGAGTCACCAACTTTCCTGTTTGTGGAGTGACCCTGTGACAGAGGGAACACCCCATGGTCTTACACTTTATTTCTGCCTCTCCCAGGCTGGGCCTAAATCAATTTACTTTATAAAGTATTTATCTGATTATGCTACCCCTGCTTAAGGCCCTCTAATGGCTTCTACTACATTGAATAAAATATCCAAAGCACTCATGGTGGCCCCCAAGGTTAATGGGATCTGGCCCATCTACTTTTATGACCTCACTTCCTTCCACCTCTGCCTCCCTCCTGCTCTTCCGACCTCTTCGGTCTCCTTGCTGTTTCTCCAACAAGGCAGCTTCATCCCCACCTCAGGACCTTTGCCATGCCTAGATCTTTGTAAAGCTGGGTCCTCTGGGTTCAGGTCTCTCTGCTCAAGTGTTGCCTTCCTGGAGCTCTGATCTAAAGAGCTCCCTCTGCCCCATCCTTAATCCGCTTTGTTTCCTTCAGAGTCCTTGAAACTCTCTGAGATTTTGTTATCTATTTAAATATCAACCACCTATTTTTGTTCACTAGACTATAACTTCTATGGGGGGGGTCTTGCCTCATTCACATCTGTCTTATCTTGTTCACATCTGTAATCCCAGAGCCCAGGACAGTGCCTAGTACACTTAATTCTGCTTCAGAATTATTAGTTGAATAAAACAATGAATGAATGGTGTCAGATGAGGATCTCCTCAGGGGAGGCTGAATGGGGGAAGCTGTACTGTGGAGGCCCTGTTTCCTCTGTCTCAGGCATGGAGCAGTTCCATTGCCCAAGCAGGAAGCCCTGGCCTAAGAGCCCCACCAACCCTTTGTCCAAGTGGCATTGGCTACAGAAAAACTTGGGGGCGTGGGAGCATGTCCTGATACCCCACCTGCAGGCTGTGAATCAGCAGGGGTGAGGCAGGGCTGAGAAGGGACCCCAGCCTTCAAGAGGAGTGTGTTGGCAGTCCTGCCTCCATTTACCCAGCATTTCAGGAGTCAGAGCATCAGCATCAATGGAGATGGGGACCATCAGTCTGTCTTGCTCAATTCTCTGGGGCTGGTGCAGGGCTTGGCGCACCCCGGGCACTTGGTAGCTATCTATCTGTTGAGTGTATGAATGCCAGGCCTGTCAGGTAAGGAAGACTCTGTCCCTCTATTCTAGGGGCTTGCAGTTGGTGGTGGTGAGGCCTAGCAACGAACATGAAACAGGGGGATGGGGGACAAACAAACTTCAAGATGTAGAACTGACAGGAGTCAGAAATAGATGAGATGTGAGGGCTGAGGACAAAGAGAAAACCCTCACATATCACGTGAGGGCAGGGAACACGCTGGCCCCACTCACTACTGATCTCTCTTGCTTAGTATATGATTTGGCTCAGTAAATACCAAACGAAAGAATAAATTGAACAAATAAATGCAGAAATGAAAGGGAGTGACATGAGGCAGAGGAAGGACGGGACAGCCAGGAAGGTAGGATTTTTTTCCCTGCTGTATCGTAAGGGTCAGGACAGGGCCTAATACACAACAGGTGCTCGGGAAATATCCGGGAAATGAATGAATATCCGGGGAATGACTGTGAGTGCTGTAAGGGCAGAAACCATGGCTATTTTGGTCCCTGTTGGCCTTCTACTTGATAGGTGCTCAATTAATGTTTGAAATCATGAGAAGCTCCTTGAACTAGATGTAGGTTCTGGGGAACCTTGCCTTCCATCTGGCCCCAGACCTCATTCAACCAACCAATCAACTTCTGAAAGTCTATGACAGGCCAGACAGCTTGGATGTTTTTACATAAGCCACATCCCTTTTCCTCCCCCCTCATCCTTCCCAGTGTGTCTTGGCTAGCTGGGGCAGAGGCCTAGGAGGACACCAGGAAGTGGTTCTCAACTGAGGGCTAGTCTGCCCTCCAGAGGACATTCGGCAATGTCTGGAGACATTTTTGGTTGTCATAACTGGGGGATGGGGGGTGGAGAATGCTAACGGCATCTAGTGGGTAGAGGCCAAGGATGCTACTAAGTAACCTACATCACACAGGACAGCCCCCTGCAATCATCTGGCCCCAAATGTCAATGGCGCTGCGACTGAGCAACCCCGACTCCAGGCCAGGTTCCATCTGTCTCTGCCTGGTGGCCTCTGGCAGCGTGGCTGGACAGTGCGCGCCATGAGGGCAGGCACTGCACCTGTCCTATTTACAGCAGGGAGCACAGGGCCTGTCGCACTGTTCATTTATACACGTTTATTGGGCTACTGTGACTGTAGCCTAGGAGGCAGGTACTCCTTCAACCTTTCTGGGCCTGCTTTTCCTCTCTTAATGGGTCAAGGACTGCCTCACCTGGCCCTGAAGGTATACTGCTGCCCCTTCTTGCCCCAAGCAGTGTCTTGTGGCGTCCCCATCCCGCCACCTAGGCTTGTCCTCACAAGGTTCTACGGAAACAAGTTTTTTGGGGAGGACACCACTTACTGTTGATGGACTTGAGGTCCCGGTGGATGATGGGCACAGGGGCATCATTGTGTAGGTAGTTCATGCCCCGGGCCACCTGCACAGCCCAGTTGACCAGCACGTGAGGGGGCACCCTGCGCCCTGCCAGCACCCTGCTCAGTGCGCCCCCTCTGGCATACTCCATCACCAGGCAGAGGTGTGGGGGGCTGAGGCAGGCGCCCCTGAGGGCAATGATGTTGGGGTGCTGCAGGGCTCCGAAGAGCCGGGCCTCCTGGCGCACCTGCTCTGCTGTCACTGCTGGGTCCCGTTCAGGGTCCAGCCGGGCGGCCTTGACCGCCACCTCCTCGCCATGCCACAGGGCCCGATAGACCTTGCCAAAGCCCCCTACACCGATGATCTCCTCCAGCTGCAGCTCGTGGAAGGGGATCTCCTGGGGCAGCTGGAGGTCCGCGGGCGCGGCGGGGGTGCCAGGGGCCACGTAGTTGCTGGGGAAGACGCCCACACGGCCGCTGGGTAGCCGCCCGGTCCACCAGCCCTCGTCGCCCGACACGGCACAGTCCTGGGAAAGCACCTGGACGCGGTCACCCCTCCGCAGGGTCAGCTCCTCCTCGCCCGCCGCCTCGTAGTCGAACACTGCGGTCCAGACGGGCCCCGCGGGGGTCGTGCCCCACTCCTTGGCCGCCCCCAACTCCTCCTCCTCCATGGGGGTGGGGCCAGGGGCTGCGGGAGGCCGCTTCACACAGGCTGCCCGCGGGATGCAGAGGGCGGGCCCCGGCGGCCAGGATGGGGGGCAGTCCCTGCGGGTTCTAGGGGGCTCCTGGGGGCCATGGCTGGGGGACCCTCCGCAGGAGCAAGAAAAAGCCTCTTTAAAAGGGCAGGGTTGTCCCCTCTGATTCAGCTGTCCAGGCAGGGTGGGGTGGGGGAAGGGCGGCGGGTTCACCTCTCCCCCCTAAACGTCAGGGCGCTAAGAAGGCCTGGCCGCGCGGCTGCCGAATTCCTGCCGGGGTCCGCCGGTGGGGGACGAGGGTGAGGGAAGCAGGCAGCCCCCTTCCCCGCGCCTCTCACCCCGCGCAGCTCCACCGGCGGCCCCCGGCTCCGCATCCCGGGCCACGATCGCCGGGCGGGCGGGGCTGGCGGAGCCCCCCCCCAGGACGGGGTGGCGCGCCCCTCGGCCTCCTCACGCGCGGGGCGGCCGGACGGCCCCCATCCTCAGCATCGGGCTCCCGGTCGGCCCCAGCCCCTGCCCCCGCCCGCGCCGCTTCCCGGGGCCGCAGGCAGTGCCTGAGTGACGTGCACGCTGCCGCCGCGCCGCGGTGCCGCCTGGGAGTTGTAGTCTCCGGCAGCGCGACTTCCTGGTCGGTGCCCAGTCCCCCAGCCTCCAGAGCCCGGCTGCGGGCCTCGGGCCGAAGTGAGGAGTGCGCGTGGGCGAAGGAATTCTCCCGGGGAGATAAGCCTGGCCTCAGGCCCTCCCTGGGACGCCGTGGGCCGGACGCCTGGAGGAGGAGAGGAGGAGAGGGCCGAGCGCTCCTCACAGGCCCTGCGGGGGCCGCGGCCCAAGGTGGGGTTGACGGTGACTGACGCTCTTCGCAAAGCGAAAAGTAGCAGCTGCGTGAGTGGTGGTTACTGTCCGGAGCCTCTAACGCAGGCCAGGACTAGGTCCCCGCAGTTGGACTGCCCCTCGGGGCCCCGACCCGGGGTGCACGCCGGGAAGTGTAGTCCGTTCGCGAACCGGCGCCGTGGGGCAGTCCCCCAACCGCGGGCAAGGGAGAGCTGCTTGGTGGCTCCAGGAAGCTGGGGGGTCAGGCTGATGGTGAGGCCTCTGGGGGAAGACAGGGCTGGGAGGATGTTTGTAGAATCCCTGGGGAAATCACAACCACATCTGCTTTCCCCTGGGTTCCTCTGCTTCTGCAGTCGGAACTCGAGAATCCCCGCCTTCCATAATGGGAATTTCAAATTTGTGGGGCTTAACGGTCATCTTATGCTGAGTGCTTTGCATACATGGTAGCGTTAAATCCTCGCAAAGCCCCTAGTTTACAGATGACGCATAGAGAAATAAAGTCACTTGTCCAAGGTCACAACTATAAATGGCAAAGCAACAATCAAAGGCATATATTTCTCTCTCTCTCTCTTTTTCTTTGGCCGCACCGTGCGGCAGATCTTAGTTCCCCAACCAGGGATGGAACCGGTGTCCCCTGCAGTGGAAACTCGGAGTCTTAACCACCCGACCGCCAGGAAAGCCCCTCAAAAGCATATTTTAAAATTAAAAACAACTACCACCACGACAATCATGATTTTTAAAAACACTGCCTTCCCATTTAAAGAGTGAGGAAACTGAGTCCTGCAGAGGTTCGATGACTTGCTCAAGATCTGTAAACTTGTAAGCAGCAAAATTCTGCGTCTTTTCACTTAGCCTCTCCTTAGTGGTCTGGGGGTCTGGCGGGAGGAGAGAAGAGGGGAACTTTGATGGGTTCTGGTGCCCAAACTCCAAAGAACTGCCCCACAGTATCCTGGGAAATTGTTCCGCGCTCAGAGGGAAGTGGGTACCTGCTCTCCTGTGAGGAAAACTCTGGACCTCTCAAGAATGCTTGTTGGAAGAGAGGCCCCGCTTCATTCTGAGTACAGGCGTTTCTGCTATAACCTGATACATGCTTTCCTGAAAAACCTGTAGTTCTGCAAAACAGTGCACTAAAAATGACAAGGCTTTATGGGAAAAATAGAATTAGGGACAGATTGCTCAAAACGTATGCAACTTAGTAATCACAGTGCTACAAAACCAATAACGTTTACTTATTTATTTATTTTTTAATATTTGTTTAGTTGCACCCGGTCTTAGTTGCCACACGTGGGCTCCTTAGTTAAGGCATGCATGTGAGATCTAGTTCCCTGACCAGGAATGGAACCGAGGCCCCCAGCACTGGGAGCACAGAGTCTTATCCACAGCACCACCAGGGAAGTCCCAATAACAATTCTAATAGAAATACTAGCACAGTTAAATATACACGGGGTATTTGTGCTTAGCAATCAATACTTTAAGTGCCTTCTTTGCAGTCTTAAAGGCTGGGGCTTGTACTTCCTTCACAGAGATGCCGGCTGGAGATACTAACTTCTAATGGAGACCATTTTCTTCAAAATTAAAAATCTGATCCAAGGTGTAGTCTTCCTCATTAATCTGTTATTTTAATGTGGGAAAATATCGTTGCAGTTTCTTCATCTGCTTTCACAGCTTTGCCACATACCATACCATTGTAGCAAGCAATGGGTCTTTGAAATCACTAAACGATCCACAGTGGATCTAAAGGAAGACATTTCTATAGAGTTGCAGCTTTTCCCCTTAAGATCTTCTTTTATCACTAAGGCTTCCTCTTTGCCTGTGAGAAACCTTGCCCTTGATTGCTTCAAAATGTTAACTTCCTAGAGAAAATGGCATATTAACCAACATGGCTGTGGTATGCTGACATCCTTACTCTGTTTACCAATTGTTTATGGGGTGATGCAAGTCAAAGAAGGTGGGCAGCAGAACAGGTGGTCTCCAAGCAGATGCCTAGACTTAGGTGAGGAGAGGGACCCGGCTTGGTTCTAAACCTGGTAGGCTCTATAATGGAAATGGAGAGTGGAATAGCATTTGTCAAATCCATAAAAAAGTCCTTCGGATTTTGATTGGGATTATAATGAATAAATTATTAATTTTGGGAGAATATGACTTTGTAATATTGAGTCTTCTATTCTTGGACAGGTATAATTTTTTTCGTGGGATATCTTATATGGCTTTCTTTGGTTCACTCACTGGATTTTACTGTTTTTACTTATTTACTTGTGGCCGGGATTTTGTTATTTTTTCCTAATGAGTTACTGCTGTTTTTAATGCTGAACTTGGATGTGGCTACCTTGTTGAGCTCACTCTTATTTGTTCTAGAATAGCTTGACAGATAATTCTCTATACTGTTCCAGTTAGATGACCCTGGTGTCCAGGGAAAAAAAGACAGTTTAGTTTTTCCAATCTTTATAACTCATTTCTCACCCCTCGCCCTTTGGCTGAGGGTTCCAATACAATGTTGAATGACAGTGGTGATAATGGACAATGCTTGTCTTGTTCTAGACATTTTAAAGGAATGCCCCTAAGGTTTCATCATTAAGTATGATGTTTTCAGTAGATTTCTAGTAGATTTCTAAATTTTATTCCTAATTTGCTGAGAAGTTGATTTTTTTTTTAAAAGCAGGCATTGACTTTTATCAAATGCTTTCTATGCCTTTGTTGATATGATCAGATGACTTTTCTGCCTTAATCTGTTAATGATGAACCATCCTCTGTTTCACTATTGCTGGATTTGATTTAATAACATTTTCTTTAGGGTTGTTGTGCATTTGTTTTCATGAATGGAATTGACTGACTCATGGTTTTCTTTCTCGCGCTGTCCTTGCCCAGTTATGACATAAGGGAAATGCTAGCTCTGTTCTACGATTTGGGGGAACCACCTACCTTTTCCTGCAGTCTGGAATGGTTTGTGATATATTGGAGTTATCTGTTCTTTGAACATTTGGTGGAATTTGACTGTAAGATCATCCATGCTTGGTGCCTTTTTGGTAGGTCTTTGGTTATAATTTCAACCTCTTCTGTGGATATTGGTTTATTCAGATTTCTTACTTTCTCCTGAGATAAATTTTTGTAATTTATATTTGCCTAGAACAATATTTTATCTAGGATTTCAGATTCATTGGTATAACTTTATGCATTTTATTTCTTATGAATCCTATGGATCTGAAGTTATATTTCTTTTGGCTTTCCTGATACTTATTTGTTCCTTCTCTTATTTTTGTGGATCAAATTTGCCAAAAATTTAAATAGAAAAACATTTCTGTTTTTACATTTTTTTGCTCAATATTGTTTTATTGGTGTTTAAAAAACTCCCAGCTTTTTGTTCTATTGATGATCTCTTCTACTTATTTGTTTTGGGGGGGGTATTTTATTTCATTAATTTCTTCCTCAATTGTTGACTCATTTTTTTGCATTTTAGTATTTATTTTGTTGTTATGTATACCCAGGTTTTGATTTGTAGCGCTTTCATTGTCATTCAGTTCCAAAAAAAGGTGTAATTTCAATTCCCCTTAACCCCCAAATTATTTAGAAATGTGGTTTTTAATATCTAGGTATATGGATTTTTCCTTGATTATCTTTTGGAGTTGATTTCTAATTTTATTTAATGAATGTATTTCAAATGACATAAATTCTTAGGAATTTGTTGAGATTTCCTTTATGAACTAGTATGTGGCATTTTTTTGTTTTGTTTTGGAAGTGTCCTGTTTTTAAAGGATGTACATTCTAGTTGTTGGGATAAGAGGTATGACTATACAAGTTTATTAATGATCTAATTCTTAACTATTATATCCTTACCTTTTTTTTATCTTGTTTTTTTTTTTTTTTTTTTTTTTTTTTGCGGTCGCAGGCCTCTCACCGCTGCGGCCTCTCCCGTTGCGGAGCACAGGCTCCGGACACACAGGCCCAGCGGCCATGGCTCACGGGCCCAGCTGCTCCGCAGCATGTGGGATCCTCCCGGACGGGGGAACGAACCCGCGTCCCCTGCATCGGCAGGCGGACTCTCAACCACTGCGCCACCAGGGAAGCCCCTTTTTTTCCTGTTTGATCTATTGGCTTCTGGAAGGTATAATAAAGTCTCCCATTATGAGTGAGGATATGTTCATTTCTCATTTTAGCTCTATCAGTTTTTACTTTATATATTTTGAAGTTATGTTGTCAGGTGCATAAGGGTTTATGATATTAATATGACACCAGTGAATTATTCCTTTTATCAATATGAAATATCCTTTGCTGTCCTTCGTAATGATTTTTGCTTTTAATGTGTCTTTTTTCGTAACATTTCCTTGGTACTTCTGTTCTCTTTCATTCATTCTTCTTTTCTTTTTTCTTTTTCTGTGGGTTGATTTTATCATACTGCTTCATTTCTGACACACTATAGCAATAGTTTGTGTAAAGCTATCCTCTTATGTTATTTTTTCTCCATATCCCCATTCCCACTTTTATTTCTTCCTCCACCTCAAAGACACACTTTCTGATTTATGTTTAATTTATGGTTCTTGGATATGTCTATATTTCTAAAACATGTATAGTGCTTTCTATATGTATGTGTTTTTAATTTACAAAAATTATACTAAGTACATTTCTATTTTTACATTTTTTTGCTCAATATTGTTTTAAGAGCAGTCCGTGTTGTTTGTGTATCTAGTTAATTGTGTCTGTTTGCTGCACAGCACTCCAATTTATTAGTTCACCATCCTTAATTATTCACCTACTAATGAAGAAGACCTACATTGCCTTGAATTCTTTGCTACTACAAACAATACTTCAATCAACAATCTTGTACTTATATCCTTTGGGACTTGTGTGAGAGTTTCTCTGGATTATATACCAAGATTGGGATTGCTGGATCATAGGATATACATACTGCATTATGCTAACCAAAGGTGCATGATAGTTCCAAATTCTATATGTCTTTACTAATACTAGCTCCTCTCTGACCTTTTAATTTTGACCACTCTGATGAA